GAAACGAATGTGACGTCACATTCCTTGAATAACAGTGCTGGCACCTATTTTCACAACGAATTCTTCGTGAATTTCTGATTTTTTTTCTAAAAGTGTTTATAATATCTGTGCCTGCCGGTGCGATGACAAGTCACTTTCAAAACTCCGAAGTAAGTAAAATAAGAGTTGTGGGTGAAGTTGAGGTCATTTCCGTCGCGATTACACTATTCTAGGTTCATTGGGGGGGCTTTTAGGGCCATAAGATGCTAAAATCGGTCAAATCCGACGACGGATTCGGACTCAGCAGACATTTTTACGTACCCGGGTGAAGTAGGTAATTTCTCAGATAGAAGGCTGTCGCTCAAGGGCCCTCCGAGTGAATTTTAGTCGTTTTTAGCCTAATTTTCTAAAACCCTCGAAAAGTCATAGAAGGAGGCTTCAAATCGAAAAACGCAAGAAGAACTACCCCCCCAAAATCGCATATTCTGAGTCGGCAAATGATGTCATTTAAGTTGATTTTAATAGTTGCACTCTCGACATAAACGGCCCGTGAGGCAGTGGTTCCCTTGATCCGATCGGGTTCGGGTTTGCGGCATATGATTTGTGTTTTTTAGGAGTACCTTAATCCGAGTGAGGCCCAAGAGAAATCAACAAAAGTTGTTTTTTGGACCACCCTACCCTTGGGCCCTGCTCGCTCACGGCGCAACGGCGGACGCGTTGTGGAAGTGCGGGATGATATGTTGAGGAAGGCAAGTAAGGAAAGGTTGTAACGCGATGAAAACGTCCAAGAATTTGTTTCCTATCTGGTAAAATCATTATTGAAATAGAACATTTCAATGGAAATTTTTAATGTCTCATTGAAATTCTTTACTGTTTTCGGTTGTGGCAGAGAGGTAAAAAATGATTTCAATGAAATTTTCCAATGAAAACTTTTAATTGTTCAATGAAAACTTTCAACGTTTCAATGAAAACTTTCAATTTTCACACGGAGTCAAACAGAGTAAGTTAGACAGAGGCTGAGATAGGGAGGGAAAATATGGAAGGAGGGGGGGGGGGGAATGGCCGGATGCCCCAAATCACCCGTGAGAAACGAATGCACTGTATCGCTCCTGTACTGCGACCAGGGCTGTTAACGCTAATTTATCGATTAACGCCGTTAGTTAACGCCGTTATCGTTAATTAACGCTTAGCGATAGCGCGTTACAGTTGCGCCGGAGCGTTAACGCTAGCGCGCTACGTTACTTTTGTGGTTAGCGGCTTAACGCCGTTAACGTTAATTCGTTTCTAAGGGTGGGCGTACAAATCCTTAAAATGAGCCGTTTTCCACGGACCTGTCGAACTGGTCCGTTTAAATTTCGCCGCCTTTCGCCGCTACTGTTGTGTTTACTGCTCAAGCCAGCGAGCACACGCCGTAGTGCAGCTCCCCGCCGCCCGCCGCGCCACCCGCTCGTGTGTTGTTGTTCGTCTCCGTCTCGTCGGTCGGCGTGTTGCGACAAGTCAAAACGGTCGGGCAAGGGCAAGACACGCGGTTTGTTCTGAGTGAAGTGTTGATTTGTTGAAAATGAGCGAGAATGATGATTACAATGACGAAGGTGACGGTGATAATTCTGAGAATGACGAATCCATGCCGTGGGCTGCGTTTAATGCCCATTTTACGTACGTGAAAGAGGTGGATGAGAAAAACTTTCTGGCCCGGTGCAAACTGTGTGATAAGGATAGGAGGTGTCCAGTATCATCGTCCAGCAATCTAAAGTCCCATTTGAAGGTAAGCCTTATTTTAGTTTTGGGTTGGGTGGATATTACTGCGCTTCTGTCACTAAGAAGCCGGCTATAACCTAATCGCGGAACTTTCTCGAGTCCTGCTGTGACATCCTAACCCTACTTTTTCTGTTGCAGCGTAAACATCACTGGTCTGAGGAAAAACTTCAAGAACTTAGTGTTTGCTCAAAAAAGAAGTCTAAAAAGAACCCTCCCTCTTCCTCAAGCGCTGTCAGTACTGGAGGTGCAAGTGCAAGCAGTAGTGCCACTTCGTTTTTCGAACCACGTCAGACTAAAGCCGTAAATCAGAAGAATTTGAATGAATTAGTCGACAAGCTTGTTATTTTTGAGAATCTGCCACACAGAATCGTGGATTCACCCCATTTCAAGGCTGCTGTGCTGTTTGGTGTACCGGCTGGACAAGAACTGAAGATAAGCTGCCGGCAAACGCTCCGCAAACGCTTAAATGGACATTATGAGAAAATGGTAAAGAATTTAAAAACTGCTCTCTCCGCGGTGAAGTATGTGGCCACCACGGCTGATGGATGGTCAAAATTTCGTCGCGGGTTCTTGGGCATGACGGTGACCTGGCTAGACCCATCAACCATCACCCGATCCCACGCCTCTTTGGCCCTCCGACGACTCAAAGGCAGACATACCCATGATCGCCTGGCAGCCGCCATGTCGGGGATCCACGCGGAGTTCGACCTGGCTGTCCCAAAGTTGGCCAAGACCATCACTGACAGTGCGTCCAACTTTCGAAAGGCATTCAGGGTGTTTTCCGCCGCCCCTCATGCAGGCCCAAATGAAGGTAGGTCATAGTAATACTTGAAATAAATAGCTTAACCTGAAACAGAGCAGACGTCCGAGCCGACGGCCGCGATGGCGTCGTCCAGCTCCTTTGCACTCGTAGCCGTTGGAGTGCTCGCCGGCATGCTCATGCACCTG